CAAGGCCGGTGTGTGATAAGCCAGGATTCGTACTTGGCGGCTTTCCGTACCCTTAGGGAAAAATCCCACGTAAGCCTCAAAGTACGGGTTCTAGATGATTGGGAAGAACGGGGTTTATTTTTCCTTTTTCTTCTTTTTTTTTTTTTTTCTTTTTCTTCTTTTCCTTCTTGTTCCTTCTTGAAAAGAGAAGAAGGACGGAACAAAAACTTATTTTTCCTTTTTTCTTTTCGTTTTTCCAGAACTGCCCCTGATGGTCTTTTTCCGCTCGGTCGGTTAGCGCCCTCGTTGAGAACTCCAAGAAACAGTTAGATGGGAATTTTGATTTCTTGCGCACACGGCTGTTTTTCAAATTTTTGCATGCCGCTTAAACCCGTTTCCCCGCTTTGCATCCCCGCGCCATCTTCTCTTCTTCCCGCACGTTCCCTTCTCACATGCCTCTTCGTCATCCCTCGAGCGAAGGTCGATCCTCTCCTTACCCATCATCCTGAACGATTGGTTGTGTATTTGGGATGGTCGGATCAATGTGGGGAAAGCGGGAAGCACGCACCACTTGAATAACCACCCCAATCAGACAAAGTGTTCGACTCGCATCCTTCGATCCTTTTGGGACCTTGCCCTTCTTTTGTCGTGCTCATCTGCGCCCCGCGCTACAAGGCTACATGCACCACATGCTGACACCTCGCCGCCTTCCGCACAATAAATTCTTGCAACCCTCCTCTCCTTCTCTTTGATCTCGGTGGCAATGTTGTGCGAGCTATGTGCGAGGTCCGCGGCGTCGAACAAGCTTGATGAGCCCAAGTGACGGGCGGAGTGACGACATGGGGTCGGCTTAGCAATAGACTTGGGGTAAGCCAATCGGAGGGACTGAGCGGTGGTGGAGATCTGACGCCGGCAGTGGCAGGGCCTTATGGCTATGGTTGTCGGTGGTTCTGAGGGACTGGGGGCTGGGTTCGGGGCGGCCAGCCATGTGAGAAATTTTGTATACTAAGAACTCACTTTTATCTCCATTGTTGCTTTGTCTCAGTGTGATGTGTGCATGGTCCCGATGCATGGGTATTCTGTTATATGCATGATGTGGTACAAGAGTCTATGGATGATTGAATGTCTCATTGTCCAGGAGGGCTTGATGAGTATGTGTGTGTGTGCGCTTACAGGCGCGGTGGTGGGGATTGCTGGGTGTCGACCGTCTGCATGGATGCATGAGTGTGTTGGTCCTTCCTCCCTTCCCCGATCCCTTTTTCGGTCTTAATGTCGTGTGTATGCGGGGGACCAAGCGCCAACCTCTTCCCTCTCTCCCTCCCTTCTGGGCGATGAAGGATCCGACGAAAACTCGATAACCGGAGAGATCAATCGTTCGTATCTCCGCGACGTGGATGACATCTCCGCGACTCGACAGAACCTTGGATCCCCGACTCCGCATTCAGGTTGACGCACACACACACACACACACACACACACACACACACACACACACACAGAGAGAGAGAGAGAGAGAGAACTAGGTGGGTTTTCATTGATTCTTGTATGAAGCCCGCGCTCGTCCCTGTGGACGCAAGCACGGGCCCTTGCCCGTGCTCTACCTTTATATCGGTCTCTCACAACGCGCTGCCCTCCTTCCCGATCGCAGACGACGATAGTGTGTAGTGCGACGCAGACGTACGGATTGCTCTGCGACGAACCGAGCAGATCCGTCTGCATAGCCCCGCCAGGGCCTACCACATCGGAGGGAGTGGGTTTGTGTTGATTGATCCGTTCTCTTCCCCTCCCCTGATACTGCCCTACACCGATCTCACGGTTTTGGCCTGGTCCGCGGCACAGGCGACGTGGCCACCTCGGTTTAACTGAAGCTGGTGTTGTCAGGGGGATTCGTGTTCCTGGCGAAGACTAGTCCTGGGATACGAAGGTGCGGCTTGGTTCCCATACCTCTCCCGCAATGCGGGCGTGCTCCCGACTAACTTTCGAACTTGGGTTCCCTCGACCCACCCTGCCCTCGGCAACCCCGCGCTAGGAGGTCCGCATGGGCTCGACGAATCTGACACCGAGGCCTGAAACTTCCGAACTGACCACCCTAAGATCCGCGCGAACCAGGCGCCATAGGGAACGGAAAACTCTGTTCTCCGTCGTTTTCTTCCTTTTTCTACTTTACCCTTTGATTGTTTCCCCTTCCATTGATGGTTGCTCCAGAATGAGTTTTTTTCCTGTCCCTTGCCCTCGACGATGGCTCGAACCCCCAAAAGGCAACTCTTGGCTCAAAACAAGAATCCCCCGTTTCGCTCAGGCGATTCAACCCCACGACCAAAAATCCCCGGCCACACCCCCAACTACTCTGATCGGCGTTCGAAGTACGGAACGCCACGCGGGGTGTGAGGTTTGCGCATCACAGAGATCCCGCAGAACGATGCGAGTTAAACAAATCAACTTTTTCATTAGTATAGTCATGCGTGCATCGTACGCGTGTATAGAGGCTGGCATTGCCGCCGCCTCCATCGAGTTGCCTGAACCCGAGGCCGTCGCTGGATGTGAGCTCCCTTGACATGTTTGGAGTCACTGTGATGTTTGAGGGCGTCCGCTATGACCTCGGCAAGGCTTTCGAAAATGGGGCCTCGTGTAGGCTTGAGACTTCGCCTACTGGAGTAGTGGAGGTGTGGCTTTGGAAAAGTTGCCGCTTGCAAGGGCCAGAATTGGCGGCCCGACTGGTGGAGTTGACGGTCCTGCATGACTAATATTGACTATCCCCTTTCGTTTTGTCATCTATCCTGAGCCCGGGCCCGACTGGTGGGAAAGTGGGGGTGCCAACTGTTTCCCCTCTCATCAATTCTCCGCTGTTTTTCCTTTTTCATTTATTTATTTATTATTTTAAATAATCAGTTCATTTTTTGCGGCTGGGCCCGGTACCAATTCCAGACCTGCCGCGGAACCGATGGGCCTAGCTCAGTTGGCACACCCATGAACTGTTGAAATACAATCCGAGTTTCAACTCAGAGTCTGCCGAAAGCAGATGAATGAGATACTACAACTTCCACCATTTTGTATTACCTTGGTTTGGCCAGTACGGTGACGATGGGCCTCGCTCCACCACTCTCGAAATGTGCAAAACGAGAGGGAATCTTCCGCTAGAACAAGGAAAGATACATCGCCATGATTTTTGTCTTTTGTGCATTTTCGGAGTAGTGGAGCAACGCCCGACATCTCAAAGGAAAGATACATCGCCATGATTTTTGTCTTTTGTGCATTTTCGGAGTAGTGGAGCGACGCCCGACATCTCAAGGTCATCGCCCACTTAGAACATTCGTTAAACTAGGATGGTACAAGGAAGATTGCACTACCTCTACGCGTGGCAGGGTGCAGAGCGGACTAACCCCAATCTATGACCTCTTCTACTGCACTTGGAGTACAAATGCGGGGGCGTACACATAGGAAGGTGACCGTCCTGGTGTGAACAAGATCGGCCTTGCTGCTCACTCACTCCTCTGCCCTCGGTTTGTGTAGATTGTGGCCAGCTCCGAATGAATAGGGATGTCAGAGCTGGCCAGATACAAATCAGCTTAGATCAGGGAATACTCGGCCGATTAAGTTCGTGACCTAAGCAGCGGACTAATCAAATATGCCCCAATCTACTGTGTGTTCGTGGCCTAAGCAGCGGACTAAGTTCGTGGCCTAAGCCACGGGCCAACCAAATATGATGGTCAAAACAATAAAATAAAATAAAATAAAATGATGGTCGGGCGGGTGAAGGGAGTGCGTTATTGTGTCATCGAGGTCCATTGGAAAATGTTGTCGGTTCTATCCGTGGGCTGCGTTAACCTGTTACAACTGGTAGTAGTCCTATCGGAAGAAGAAGAAGAAAAAAAAAAAAAAAAAAAAGAAGAAGAATAGTGTATAGTGAAAACAGTGGCCATAGACTGCTTCTCGTACAAGCATCGATATGTCATCATTACTTCTCCGCATGTACTGTTCTCAGCAAGAAAACGCGC